TCAGACTCATTGAAATGCAAATTGAAAAAGTAAAAAAAAAAAGAAAAATCAAGAACTGGTATTGGTAGATGAGTAAAAGCATAACATTTGGATTGGACCCACTTGCGTGTAAAGAGTTTCAGACTGATTGAAATGCAAATTACAAATGAAGTAAGAAAAAGAACGAAAATTTAAGGACTGGGATTGCTGTAGTTACCAGGTAAATCCCAAGGCTCGAACTTGAGGATATCAATTTCATCAATGATGTTTTCGGCATGGGAATCCATGCCCTCCAGCTTATTCTTCAAATAGTAGTTCACCAGCTCTTCATCTGTGGGCCGAAATCTGAACCCCACCGGCACTGACAAGTCACCTTCTTCTTCTTCTTCTGCTGCTCTGCTGAGTCTGGCCATCTCTCTGTCCTTTTACTTTATGAAGAGAGAATGGTACAATTTGATTAATTGATCTGTATGTTTCTGCCAAGTGTTGAGTTGCTGTGAGAGTGAGTGAGAGACAATTGGGAAATTGGAATGCTGGGTTTTTGTGATTAATGAGGTCGGTTCTTGTTTTTTAATGATTAAAAACAACAGAAGCGTACGGAAACGGAATTGACTTCCAAGTCTTTGGCTTTCTGCTTCTGGTGCTTACATGGGTTTGGAATTTTTGTGTTGGTGGCATATGATGGACCCCGGCGCTCTATCCGTGTTAAATGTGTAGTATTTTGCATCGGTGCATTTATAAGCATGTATTAAATTAATTTAATGAATTTAATCAGTCCGTATAAGCATTTCTTTGCAACTTTTTGCAAAGAACTCACTAGTGTAGTGATTTGGAGTAATTGCTCCTCCATATAATATGTTATTACCTCTCTGAGTTTGAATCTTAACATTTGTGTAGTGTGTGTGAGTTTAATATGTTATTACCTCTCTAAGTCTTTAAAAAAAAGATTAAAAAATAAGAATAATAATAAAAATGTCCCATCAAGAATCAAACACTCCTCCGCTGAACTCCGCTGAACCCCACTCCCTGCCTGAACATTTCACGCAGGAAGGTGGTGCAGTTGGCTAGCGCGTGGGTCTCATAGCTTGGAAAGTGAGTAATCCTGAGGTCGAGAGTTCGAACCTCTCTCTCACCCCATTTCGTCTTTTTTATTTTTGAACTTCAACAATTGAAGGTTCCAAACAACAATAACGCAAACACTGCTATATTCGAAATTCCAGCAACACAATTCAAGACCTCAATACATCCTTACATCTGGTCAGTAGAAAGAAAGACTTAATCTCTATAGGCATATATGAACATTTCATCACTGCAAAGCCATCGCCATGGCTGAGATTAGCGCATATTTTTATACCAAACAATAAGTACCCAGTAAGACTGGCATTACTCAATGTGTTACAGAATATGGAGAACAAGAATTAACTATTTTCTGGTGAGTGAGTTTAGCTCCACTCCCCATATAAAACTACTTCCCGGACACAAAACAAGAACAAAATTGTGCCTAGAACCGTGTTGAAAATGTAGACTGATGGGGGACTTTTCAATGGGGATGTTTGCCAGGTAATGAAGGAACGCTTCCAATTGCCGGGGGTTGTTCTATTCTGTGTCTGCTCCATACTGCCTTGAGGCACCTTCTTGTCTATGCTAGACTTTGTTATAGAGATCTGCTTCTCGACCAAATCAGCAGCAGTTCGATGATAAGCAGGTGCTTTGGGCTGCAAAAGGAAACCAAACTAAGTTGAGGAAATATCCTCTACAAAGCTTCAATATAAGAACATGTATCTAGTTTAGAGAGAAAAAAAAAAGCCTTTCTTCATGTTCTCTGTCCTGGAGTTTTGGTTCTCTCACCTTTTCTGGCTCAGGTTTAGGTTTCTCAGGTTCTTTGGCCTGCAAAAGGAAACCAAACTGAGTTGAGGAAATAGCCTTTACAAAGCTTCAATATAAGAACATATGCCTAGTTTAGAGAGAAAAAAAACACAAGGCCTTTCTTCATGTTCTCTGGCCTGAAGTTTTGGTTCTCTCACCTTTTCTGGTGGATATGTTATTCTGCGTGTTTTTTCCCTTGTATAATATTCGTCAGCGGAAGTATCCCTTAAGGCAATGCGATCTGATCGCAGTCGTATTCCGTATTTTCTAAGAGCAATACCAGCCTCTGATTGAACTCGATCAGTCTGAGGTTTGGGTGCTACATTGACAGAGGAAGCAGCCTGTCTGGATAACTGGTTATGAAGCATAATATCTATATCTTGTATGGACTGGCTCGAACCATGTTGTAGTTCATAAAGCATTTCTAAACTCAGCTCCTGAAAAAAATATGTCCCAAAAAATGAAGCAAAGTTTCGAGTGTTTGACCTGTGCAAACTATCAACACAGCACAAAATTTTGATTTTAATATTTATAAGATAATATCATTAGAAATGACTGTAATAATGTGAATGACAGGCACATTATTCACATTACTACAGCGGTTCCTAGTGATATTTTCCTACAGATAAACATAGTGTGGTTCACTAGCTATTGGAGTGTTCTAAAATAGCTACACGAGAACTTTTTTATTTACCCCTGCATGGAATGGTTTTGTGTTGAACGGTCTTAAGCGCTCTTCAAGTTCAGACGCCGAGTCATTATCTGCAAATGTCGCATTGTGATCATTATTGCTACAGGAACTTGCAAGCCAACGATCCTTTGCCTGCTCAAAGTAGTCCAGATTTTCTGGTTGTTGAGTATCTTCCTGCATTTGGAACAATAAATAAGTGTTGGTTATTTTTTTCAAATGTATACAGTGAGTTTGTGTAGTGGGAAATCAAACCCAGGACCGTTGAGTGCAGGGTGAATGCTCATAAACACTTGAACTCAAAGCCATTTTCACCAGATATATATATATATATATATATATGTATGAAGAAGCTCATGTCAGGAAATTAAAGTCTCACCTCTTGAATATCCATGCCATGTTTTGGTTGATTTTCGACATCAAATGCATTGCGAGTACTAGGTTCACCTTCATCACAGGTTGTTGCAACATCAGTATGAATCTCATCTGAATTTTTCACATTTTTCTTCAAGTGACAGAGAACGAAGTCCCTCTGCATATAATTAAGTTGGAAAACCAATTATGTAATGAAAGCAGAGGCAATAGAAAATCAAATGAGGTAACTTCTAACGCAAGCCGACATCTCTAAGCTTTGCATATTTACATAACAAACCAATTTGGATCGTAGGTGGGTTTCGATTTCGAGCCATCTGTGATTTCGAAACTAAATTTCTATAGCACAACATGTATATCATACTGTACAAAAAAGAAAGAGAATGATGACCTGGTTGGCATTAGGATGGGCTTTAGGGATATAATACTCATGCATAACCCAGTTGGTCTTGTCGGAATTGCGACCATGACCTATGTAAAAGGTCAGAATCCTCTTTTTGCCGATGAAGGTTCTTCTCGTGTCTCGAGTCCTGATGTCATGTTCTCTGCCCGTTATCTTCCAAAAGCCTTCCTCTGTGCTCCTCTTGGTTTTATTTTTTGGGGTGTACTCTGGTTGACTGAAGAAGAACCCGTTCTCATCGTCCGGCTTCATCAACGATTTCGCTGCATAACATAAAACACAACATTTGGATTGTACCCAATTGAGTTTGAGACTGATTCAAATGCAAATTACAAGTGAAGTAAGAAAATTGAAGAACTGATATTGTTGATAATTACCAACTAAATCCCGTGGCTCGAACTTGAGGATATCAATTTCATCAATGATGCCTTCGGCATGGAAATCCATGCCCTGCACCTTATTCTTCAAATAGTAGTCCACCAGCTCTTCATCTGTGGGACGAAATCTGAACCCCACTGGCAGTGACAAGTCACCTTCTTCTGCTGCTGCTCTGCCGAATCTGATCATCTCTCTGTCTGTCCTTTATGAAGAGAGAATGCTACGATCTTTTGATTTGATTAATTCAACAATCTATATGTTTCTGTCAAGTGTTTTGAGATTAATGCGTTGGTTTTTCTTTTCTAATGATTAAAAACAACAGAACAGTACGGAATTGACTTCCAAGTCTTTGGCTTCCTGCGTACTGCTTTGCTTCCGTGGCTTACATGTCTTCGGAATTTGTGTCGTGGTATATGGTAGACCCCACGCACGAGCTCCGCTCACACTAAGCTTTCCCTATCATGAAGCAATTCTTTAGTATGACCGTGACATTGATACTGCTCATACACTCATGTTATGTATGTATACAACAATCTTGTAGGTATGACATAAGTCCATCATATAATAATATTGTCAATCATCCAAATTAAATCTAATAACATTACGTAATAATGTGATCGTGACACCCTTAGTTTTGTACCTCTTTCTGGGTGCCAATATATATATATATATATATTCTTTCCTAATCACTTCTTTTACTGAAATATGAGACCATTTTCTAGATGGATTCTATTTTAATGAGCAGTGTAATTAGAAAATGCTCTATGATTTTACTACAACTAGGATTGGCGTACCTAATCTTCCTAGCTAGATTGCATGATTCTTTGATGCAACCATGCATGATCATTTTATTTTATCAGAATTAGGATTGGCGTCTTCCAAATTTAGTCTGTTCTTAGGCAGAAAAAGAAGCAAACATGAGCATGCATCTTTAATGTGATTGTGGGTCCGTCATTTTTTCTTGTGTCCCCACTCATAACGTAAGGTCGGGGTTTCTTCTTGATTAAGTACTTGCAATGTATCATCCAGCATACACATCCCTTGTGATCTTCTACAAACGATTGCCTGTTATATACCATAGTTCCTTCCTATACTGCTATTAGTTTTTGTCCTGTCTCTTGCTATGATTTTGAAGCAACAAGTCAAAAACTAATCACATCACCAATTCATACTTAGGATTTCAAAAATCCAGTTGTTTCTGGTAATCATAACACCTTACAGCTGACAGCAGCACACATGTTCCAGCTCCTAACAGTTGCGAGAATGAAGAATATCATACAGAAAATTCCCAAATCTAAAATGCTATTTTCTCTCTTTCCCAGGCCATACTTCCAGAAAATTGAATTCACAAACACAAGTAGCCCAGAAGGGACGTCTCTCTGTTGGCTATACACATTCCCTACAGATGCAATTTTCCTCTCTGCTCTACTATATGTTTATCAACAATTTAAGTATGGTTTATGACTGAGAACACCACATCCATTCTGGTGAGAGTACAACGGAGAGTCAGGCATGATCAGAAAGAGTACAATCTTCAGGCCATATTCCCTTTTCCGCCTCACGGGGGTACACAACTGCGTTCTTCACGTTGAATCCAAGGGCGTCCTGTGTGCCTCGTATGGACTCCTCTCTACTTCCATTAAGGTTTTCCTTTTCCTCTGACACTGTAGATATCCAGATCCTATTCTGCAATGTCAATCGTTTTAGGCACAACAAGGTGTTAATAATAATAATACTTTGGAATGACAATTACATAAGGGCAATGCTAATGCAAGTTCAAAACTGAAAATATATGAAAACAATATCCCACAATTTATGCATGCAAGGTACCTTAAATTCTTCATAATCAAGAACACCGTTTGAATCAACATCTGCTTGGATCCAGAGATCCCTTGTCTCCTGGAAACCCAGTCCCAAAGGTTGACCAATTAAATTAACCTGCAAAATTCCTATATGAGAAAGTCTTATCTTTCCATTTGAACTTTATTTAGTTTATTGGCTAATAGAACGAACCTGATGGAGTGCTTCACAGAAAGCAGAGGATGTAATAAAATCACTATTGCTATCACCCTTCTAAAAGGAAAATGCATCATTTTCAGCCATTGAAGCTTTTCAGAGCTGGCTCTGGAAACCCCACAAGGAAAAAAAGAAAAAGATAATCAGCATAGGATGTGGAAACTGTCTACACAATTAACCAGAGCTTGCATGCACTATAATATAGAATGCATCATTTCGTAAGTTTTTCAAACAGAGCTTATATGCACTACATATCTGACATGAACTAGGAGTTCTCTCCTTTTTGTGGCAAGGAATTAGAAGTAGGTAGAGAAAAGGTGAATGGACGATTTTAAAGGAACTAATATAGAAAATGGTCAATGAATTGCTCACCCTTAATATACCAAAAACAGCTTCACACCAACTAGTCTTTAGTGGTTTACATGACTTATTGGGATTACAAAGCCAAATGAAGTCGACACCACAGATGTTTCCCTTATGATGGCGGTGGCTAACCCACTGTAGGATATAAAATACAAATATTCAGTTAATACAAATGATGAGCATTGTGGCAGCCAAGTAAATCACTGACTTAAAAATTGAAATCCAAAAACCACCTACCTTGTGAGCATCTGCATCAGTATATTGATGAGCAGTATCATATGTTGATACAAACCCCTGAGATCTAAGGAATTTGTACACATGGCCACGCTTACTTCCATTCCAGTCACTGCAGCGAGCATTACGCAAAAGAATACAAATATAAGAATGAGCATTCTACAGAAAAGAATACAACCAGAGATAACCCCATTTCATTAACTAAGAAATCTTTTGTCATGGAACATTAATTAACTAAGAAAGACAAGACAGGAGACTCACCCACAGAGTATGATGGGCATGGGTTTAGTTTGTTTTCATTCTGATAAGATTCCACAAATTGCAAAATTTTGTAAACCTATTCAAAAGTTACAAGATATGAAGGTTAGTGTGATTCCTAATGCAGCTATACAGCATGATATGCACAAAAGTTGAACTTCATGGAAATTTTGAATACCTGATGCAATCTTACTATAGAGAGACTGGAATCGTGAGGAAATAACAAGTGCGTATTCATAATTAGCATTTCTTGCAACTTCTTTGCAAAGGTCTCACTTGTGTAGTGGTCTAGAGTAATTGCTCCTCCATGTGATATGTTATTACTTCTCTGGGTTTGAATCTTAACATTTGTGTAGTGTGTGAGTTTAATATGTTATTACCTCTCTAGGTCTTTGAAAAAAAAGATTAAAAATAAATAATAATAAAAATGTCCCATCAAGAATCAAACACCCCTCCGCGGAACCCCACCCCCTGCCTGAACATTTCACGCAGGAAGGCGGCGCAGTTGGCTAGCACGTAGGTCTCATAGCTTGGAAAGTGAGTAATCCTGAGGTTGAGAGTTCGAGCCTCTCTCTCACCCCATTTCGTCTTTTTTTATTTTTGAACTTCAACAATTGAAGGTTCCAAACAACAATTCAAGACCTTAATAACGCAAACACTGCTATATAAGAAACTCCAGCAACACAATTCAAGATCTCAATACATCCTTACATCTGGTCAGTAGAAAGAAAGACTGTTAATCTCTATATGCATAAATGAACATTTCATCACTGCAAAGCCATCGCCATGGCTGAGATTAGCGCATATTTTTATACCAAACAATAAGTACCTAGTAAGACTGGCATTACTCAATGTGTAACAGAACATAGAGAACAAGAATGAACTATTTTCTGGTGAGTGAGTTTAGCACCACTCCCCATATAAAACTACTTCCCGGACACAAAACAAGAACAAAATCGCGCCTAGAACCGTGTTGAAAATGTAGACTGATGGGGGGCTTGTCAACGGGGATGTTTGCCAGGTAATGAAGGAACCCTTCCAATTTCTGGGGGTTGTTCTATTCTGTGTCTGCTCCATACTGCCTTGAGGCACCTTCTTGTCTATGCTAGACTTTGTTATAGAGATCTGCTTCTGGGGAAAATCAGCGGCAGTTCGAGGATATGGAGGTACTTTGGGCTGCAAAAGGAAAACAAACTAAGTTGAGGAAATAGCCTCTACAAAGCTTCAATATAAAAGCATATATCCAGTGTAGAGAAGGAAAAAAAAAGGAAAAAAAAAAAAAGGCTTTCTTCGTGTTCTCTGTGCTTCAGTTTTGGTTCTCTCACCTTTTCTGCTGCAGGTTTAGGTTTTTCAGGTTCTTTGGGCTGCAAAAGGAAACCAAACTGAGTTGAGGAAATAGCCTTTGCAAAGCTTCAATATAAGAACATATATCTAGTTTGGAGAGAAAAAAAAAAGCCTTTCTTCATGTTCTCTGTCCTGAAGTTTTGGTTCTCTCACCTTTTCTGGTGGATATGTTATTCTGCGTGTTTTTTCCCTTGTATAATATTCGTCAGCGGAAGTATCCCTAAAGACAATGATGGGACCTGATTGCTGTTGTGGTCTGTGTTCTCTTTGATATGTACCAGGTTTGGATGCTACATTGACAGAGGAAGAAGCCTGTCTGGATAACTGGTTATGAAGTATAACATCTGTATCTCGTCTGGACTGGCTCGAACCACATTGTAGTAGTTCATACGGTATTTGTGGTTCACAACGCATTTGTAAACTCTGGACCTGAAAGAAATATGTCCCAAAAAATGAGCAAGTTTCCAAAGCCTATACTGACAAAAAATGAAACAAAGTTTTGAGTGTTTGACCTGTGCAAACTATCAGCACATTACAAAATTTCGATTTTAAGTTTCTATAGGAAAAGTATCATTAGAAGGGACTGTGAATGACACTGTAATAATGTGAATGACAGGCAAAAAAAAAGTAGAGTGGTTCACTAACTATTGGAGCGAATCGAGAGCATTTTTTTACCCGGTGATGGACTGGTTCCCTGTCTCTGTCACTGATTACTCCAAATTGTGGTTCAACAATAAGCGTTCTTAAGAAATCTTCAAAATTAGCCTCCTGGTCATGAGCTGAAAATGCAGGTTGAAACGCATTGTGATCATTATTACTAGGGGAACTTGCAAGCAAAAGATCCCTTGCCCGCTCAAAATAGTCCAGATTTTCTGGTGGCCAAGTATCTTCCTGCATTTGGAACAATAAATAAGTGTTGGTTATTATTTTTTCAGTTTATATATACAGTGAATTTGGGGAGGGGAAAATCAAACCAAGGACCCTCGTGTGCAGAGTGAACACTCCACACGGCCTTTGCATCTAGGGTTGGTTTATTGGATGTCTCATTTTCAGGAAATCAGAGTCTCACCATATTCATGTCATTTACCGGTTGATTTTCGACATCAGATGCGTTGTGAGTTTCACCTTCATCACAGGTTGCTGCAACATCAGTATTCTCATCTGATCTTTTCACATTTTTCTTTAAGCGACAGAGAACGAAGTCCCTCTGCATATAATTAAGTTGGAAAACCAATTATGTAATGAAAGTAGTAATCCACAAAACAAACCAATTTGGCTTGAAGGGGTTTCGATTTTGAGCCATCCATTGGTTTCCAAATCGAAACCCCTTCGAGCTGCAAAGTAGTATCCATTATTACTGAATAATATCTATAGCACAACATGCATATCATATTGTAAAAGAGGAGCATTGTGTTAATGTGACTGGAAAACAAAAACCATAAAACTAAAAAGAAAAATAAAAGGAAAGAGAATGATGACCTGAGCATTAGGATTGTCATCAGGGATATAATACTCATGCATGACCCAGTTGGTCCTTTCGGAATTACGAACACGACCTCTGTAAAAGGTCAGAATCCTCTTTCTACCGATGACACTTCTGTTGTCTCGAGCCTTGATCGCATGTTCTCTGCCTGTGATCTTCCAAAAGCCTTCCTGCGTGGTCCTGTTTTTTTTGTGCTTGTTGTACTCTGGTCGACTGAAGAAGAACCAATTCTCATCATCCGACTTCAGCAACGAACTCTCTGCATAAACATAAAACACAACATTTGGATTTGACCCAATTGCGTATGCAAAGTTTCAGACTCATTGAAATGCAAATTAATAATTGTCAAAAAAATGAATTCAAGAACTGGGATTTGGTAAAAAAGTAAGAACACAACATTTGGATTGGACCCAATTGCATATAGAGACTTCCAGATTGATTGAAATGCAAATGAAAAGTGAGGTAAGGAAAAAACTTTAAGAACTGGGATTTGTTGATAATTACTAGGTAAATCCCAAGGCTCGAACTTTAAGATATCAATTTCTCGGATGATGTTGCTGACATGGGAATCCATGCCCTTCAGCTTCTTCTTCAAGTAGTGGGTCACCAGTTCTTCATCTGTGGGATGAAATCTGAACCCCACTGGCACTGACAAGTCGTCTTCTGCTGCTCTGCTGATGACGATCATCTCTCTCTCATTTCATGAAGTGAGAATGTTACAATTTTTTGATTGGATTAATTGAACTGTCTGTGTATGTTTCTGTCAAGTGTTGAGTTGCTGTGACAGAATTTGGTTTTGGTTTTTCTTTCAGAAAGATTAAAAACAACAGAATTGTACGGAATTGACTTCAAGGTCTTCGGCTTTCTGATTGCTGCTTTGCTTCTTCTCCTTTCATGGTTTGGAATTGGAATTTTTGTCGTGTCATATGGTGGACCCCACCCACGCACTCTAACCGTGTGAAATTAAATGTATGGCTCCGTGTGCTTCCCGGCGGGGATCGAGAAGCTTCACATCATGGAGGAATTAATCGAGTTTATATTACTAATTCAATCATGTGATAATAGTATATCCATTTCTTAATACTCTACATATATCGCATAATAATCTTGTCGTACACATTACAGCACATGACAATGTGACCGTCAAACCTTCGCTTTGTATTTCTTTTTTTTCCATCGCTATTTGATAGAATTTGTAAAAATTATATGGACTATATTCATATATACATCTTTTGCGTACCGAAATATGAGACCCATTTTACAGATGGGTTCTATTCGTACTAGAATGAAATATTTTCTGGTGAGTTAGCTTAGCTCCACTCCCCAAATAAAACTACTTCCCGGACACAAAAATAGAACAAAGAAAGGCCTAGAAAAATGTTGGAAATGTAGGCTGATGGGGGACTTGTTGTCAACGAGGATGTTTGCCAGGTAATGAAGGAACCCTTCCAATTGCTGACGGTTGTTCTATTCTGTGTCTGCTCCATACCCTTTTCTGCATTTTTGCCCTGAGCCACCTTCTTGCCTTGGCTAGAATTTGTTAGAGAGATCTGCTTCTGGGGCAAATCAGCAGCAGTTCGACGATATGCAGGTTGTTCGGGCTGCAAAAGGAAACCAAACTAAATTGAGGAAATAGCCTCTACAAAGCTTCAATATAAGAACATATATCTAGTTTAGCGAGAGAGAGAGAAGAAGAAAAAAGAGCCTTTGTTCATGTTCTCTGTCCTGGAGTTTTGGTTCTCTCACCTTTGCTGGTGGATTTGTTCTTCGGCGTGTTTTTTCCTTTGTATAATATTCGTCAGCGGAAGTATCAATGATGGGACCTGGTTGGTGTCGTGGTCCGCGCGCTCCTTCAGATGTATCAGACTTTAATTGAACTCGATCAGTCTGAGGTTTAGGTGCTACATTGACAGAAGAAGGAGCCTGTGGGGAGATCTGGTTACGAAATATGCCACCTGTATCTCGGCTGGGCTGGCTCGAACCATAGAATACTTCACTAAGCATTTCTGCCTGGAACAAAAAATTGTCCACAAATATAAGCAAGTTATTTCTTTTTTAGAAAAGTCGTCTTCTTCTTCTTATGCTTTTCTTTTTTTATTATTATTATTTTATGTTGAATATACGCTCAACTTTGAATCAGGTTCAGATAGTTGTTCTTTACCTGAGATATAGGTAATACATTTTTTGATATTATATATATATAAATTATAGGTAATATATTCCTTTAACCCCAAAAAAAAAAAAAAAGTTATTAATTGACTTGTGTTTTTACATACATGAGATAGAGGTACTACACTTTTTTGCCTTTTTGTTTATGAATTTAAATTATAGGTAACATATGCTTTACCACTTATCTTTCTTATGTACCGGAGATATAGGTAGCATATACTGTCCAACTTATGTTTTTATACACCTAAGTTATAGGTAATTTAATATTTTGCTTGTTTATTTTTCCACCTTACTTATAGGTAAGATGTTTTGTGGTTTGTTCAACTTATGATGTAGATATATTATCCCATGGTATAGATATATTGTCCTATTGTCCTATTGTCCATTGCATGGGTATAATATGTGGGTCTTACTTTCATTGATTAAATGGTATATATTAGGTAAATATTATTAAGGAAATTATGCATTAAATTTAGATTTTTAATATGTTTTTCTTATTTACCTCAAAAGGATAAATCAACACAACAACAAAAGTAAATAAAGTCAAAGGAACTACATCTAAAACTAAAAATGCATGGATTAAATCTAATAACAGCTAATTGTTTTGGACCTAAATTTAAGAACCCCTTTCTTTTTTTTATGTAATACACTCAGTGATACGACGCCATTGTTATTGTTCATAAACAAACACCATCAATAGATTCTAGAACCAGTTCTTTTCTATATTTTTCTATGAGCTGAGACTGAATTATGACTTACATTTGGCTCTCTGTTTGTTTATTGCATGATAATTTTCTTTTACCACAATAGTTGGATAACAACACCTTATAATGAATCCCTCCTAATCCCCACAACATGGAAAGTCATTCATCCCTACCCTACCTTCATTTTCCCCTTCAATATACCTTAGATTTACTGACTTATCCAAGCCAATCCAATACGAGTTACCAAACATGACCTTAAGTTATTGACGGATGAATTACTCCGACTCAAGATTAGTGTATTGCAGTAAATACTTCCACCTAAAGGTGTGTTTCCTCATATATGGTTTTGACACTGGACAATTAGCAACATTTTCCTCCTGGTTTTGGTAAATCTAGTGATTTTGCTGGCTTAGTAAGTTATAAAAGAAGCCCCTATATCTTGATTATGTCAGCAGTTAAACTCACACTACAAAATGCAGGGAGTTTAATTGATCAGGAGAAGAAGGTATTGGTTTTGAGCACACACAACAATGTCCTTCGTTTTCGTGATTCTGTATACTATATTTTGTTGATATTCATATGGTATGTGTGAACAATAAAGCTGCTAATGTTGATATTCATATGGTTTTGTTAAAGAAGCTTACTACTTTCAAGATTTATATCACATTATGATTGCTAAAAAAAAGTGTTAAAGCACTTTAAAAGGATTTTTTAGTGTTCATCTGCTTGGTTTCAGTTCGATATTTTTTTTTCTCAGATTCTCGTACACAGATTCAACATTTATATATTGTAATCCACTGATGATGTTGGTTTCAGTTGTGTAGTGGCACATTATTCCTATTGCTACAGACTACAGAGGGTCCTTGTGATATTTTCCTACAGATAAACATAGCGTGGTTCACTGATGATGTTGGTTTCAGTTGTGTAGTGGCAGATTATTCCCATAGCTACAGACTCCAGAGGGTCCTTGTGATATTTTCCTACAGATAAACATAGCGTGGTTCACTGATGATGTTGGTTTCAGTTGTCTAGTGGCACATTATCCCCATTGCTACAGACTACAGAGGGTCCTTGTGATATTTTCCTACAGATAAACATAGCTTGGTTCACTGATGATGTTGGTTTCAGTTGTGTAGTGGCACATTATTCCCATTGCTACAGACAACAGAGGGTCCTTGTGATATTTTCCTACAGATAATCATAGCGTGGTTCACTGATAATGTTGGTTTCAGTTGTGTAGTGGCACATTATTCCCATTGCTACAGACTACAGAGGGTCCTTGTGATATTTTCCTACAGATAATCATAGCGTGGTTCACTGATAATGTTGGTTTCAGTTGTGTAGTGGCACATTATTCCCATTGCTATAGCCTACAGAGGGTCCTTGTGATATTTTCCTACCGATAACCATAGTGTGGTTCATTAGCTATTGGACTGTTCTCCAGTAGCTAATGGAGAGCTTTTTTTTTTTACCTGTCCATGTCCATGGAATGGTTCCATGTCTGTGTCACTGGTTACTCCACCATCTGGTTCAACAAGAACCGTCTCTAAGAACTCTGCGAATTCAACATCCAAGTCATTCGCTGCAAATGCAGGTTGCAACGCATTGTAATCAACATATTCCTGCATTTGGAAGAAAAAATAAGTGCTGTTTTTGTTTTTCCATTGTCCAAGCAAATTTGGGGGAGAGGGAATCCAATATAGGAGCTTGAGTGCATAGATAAAAGCTCTTAAATAAAAGCCCCTTGCAGCACTGCACCGGATATATATGAAGAAGCTCATCTCAGGAAAATGAAAGCCTCACCTCTAGAATATCATGTGCTGGTGGATGTTCGAAATCAGATGCATTGTGAGTACTAGGCTCACCTTCATCACAGGTTGTTGCAACATCAGTATGAATCTCATCTGATTTTTTCACATTTTTCTTCAAGTGACAGTGACAGAGAACGAAGTCCCTCTGCATATAATTAAGTTGGAAAACCAATTATGTAATGAAAGCAGAGGCAATAGAAAATCAAATGAGGTAACTTCTAACGCAAGCCGACATCTCTAAGTTTTGCATATTTACATAACAAACCAATTTGGCTCGTAGGTAGGGGTTTCGATTTCGAGCCATCTGTTGATTTCGAAACTAAATTTCTACAGCACAACATGTGTATCATTTTGTACAAAAAAGAAAGAGAATGATGACCTGGTTGGCATGGGCTTTAGGGATATAATACTCATGCATGACCCAGTTGGTCTTGTCGGAATTGCGACCATGACCTATGTAAAAGGTCAGAATCCTCTTTTTGCCGATGACGGTTCTTCTCGTGTCTCGAGTCCTGATGTCATGTTCTCTGCCCGTTATCTTCCAAAAGCCTTCCTCTGTGCTCCTCTTGGTATTTTTTTTTTGGGTGTACTCTGGTTGACTGAAGAAGAACCCGTTCTCATCGTCCGGCTTCATCAACGATTTCGCTGCATAACATAAAACAAAACATTTGGATTGGACCCAATTGAGTTTGAGACGGATTCAAATGCAAATTACAAGTGAAGTAAGAAAATTGAAGAACTGATATTGTTGATAATTACCAACTAAATCCCATGGCTCGAACTTGAGGATATCAATTTCATCAATGATGCCTTCGGCATGGAAATCCGTGCCCTGCACCTTATTCTTCAAATAGTAGTCCACCAGCTCTTCATCTGTGGGACGAAATCTAAACCCCACTGGCAGTGACAAGTCACCTTCTTCTGCTGCTGCTCTGCTGAAGCTGATCATCTCTGTCTGTCCTTTATGAAGAGAGAATGATACAATTTGTTGATTTGATTAATTCAACTATCTATAAGTTCCCTGTCAAGTGTTGAGTTGTGAGAGGCAATTGGGAAATTGGAATGCTGGGTTTTGAGATTAATGCGTTGGTTTTTCTTTTCTAATGATTAAAAACAACAGAACAGTACGGAATTGACTTCCAAGTCTTTGGCTTCCTGCGTACTGCTTTGCTTGTGCGGCTTACATGTCCTTAGAATTTTTGTCGTGGTATATGGTAGACCCACCCGCGCACTCCCGCTCACGAGAAGCTTTCCTATCATGAAGCAATTCTTTAGTATGACCGTGACATTGATACTGCCAATACACTCATGTTATGTATGTATACAACAATCTTGTACGTATGACCAAAGTCCATCATATAATAATCTTGTCAATCATCCAAATTAAATCTAATAACATTACGTAATAATGTGATCGTGACACCCTTAGTTTTGTATCTCTTTTGGTGCCAATATATACATTTTTCTTTCCTAATCATATCTTTTACTGAAATATGAGACCATTTTCAAGATAGATTCTATTTAAATGAGCAGTGTAATTAAAAAATGCTTTATGATTTTACTGCAACTAGAATTGGCGTACCTAATCTTCCTAGATTGCATGATTCTTTGATGCAACCATGGTCATTTTACTTTATCAGAATTAGGATTGGCATCTTCCAAATTTAGCCTGTTCTTGCGCAGAAAACGAAGCAAACATGAGCCTGCATCTTTTATGTGATTGTGGGTCCATCATTTTTTCTTGTGTCCCCACTAATAATGTAAGGTTAGAGTTTCTTCTTTATTGCTATTACAACAGATATGTGGACATCGAATAATCAAAAGAAAGGATTCATGACTATCACATCACATTTCATTGATGATGCATAGAATTTACAAAGCCGACTAATAAGGCAAATTTATTATATTGTTCTTATTTGAATTATTAATACTCTTTTTAAAAAAAATAATTAGATTGTGACTTATTTGGTTTTTATTGTAAGTTTATATACGTTCCATGTCCACACATGGCGGATGTACTTGCTGATGCTTTATTGGAATGCATGTTCGAATGGAATCTTGACCGTAAGTTGTCTACCTTAACTGTAGATAATTGTTCTACAAATGATTCCATTGCGATAGTGGTAGATAACATTTGCTCCAGTTCACTTATGTTAGATGGACGTTTATTCCACATGCAGTGTTGTGCTCATATTCTGAATTTGGTGGTGAGAGATGGCTTAGAGGTAATTAAAAAGAGTATTGGGAAAATTAGGTACAGTGTTGCATTTTGGCTAGGAACCCAAAAAAGAGAGGAGAAATTTCTTGAAGCAGTAAGACAGTTGAGAGTTCCAACCTCTAAAATGTTAGAACTTGATTGTAAGACTATATGGAACTCTACATATTCCATGTTTAAGACTGCAATGATATACAAAGATGTTTTTCCTTGTTTGAAGCATCGTGAGCCGTTGTACAAATAAGTGCCTAGTGAAACTGATTGGGCAAAGACAAAGGAGCTTGTTGATAAGTTGGCCATGTTTTATGATGTGACTGTGCTTTTTTCAGGGACCAAGTATCCTACTGCCAATCTTTACTTTAAAAATATTTGTGCTATTAGATTAGCAATTTATGATTGGCTTAATTCTGAACAAGAAGAAGTGCAAGCAATGGCATTACATATGCAAACAAAGTTTGAGAAGTATTGGGATACAATGCATGGTTTGATGGGAGTTGCAAGTATTTTGGATCCAAGGTATAGGATGAAACAAATTGAATTTTTATGCCCTCTAATATATCCAAACAATGCAGCTCAAGAGATTAAGAAATATTAAGATATCCTCTATGACTTAGTCAAGGAGTATCAGTCAAAATCTCAACAAAGTCAGCAGGTCCAATCTGAATCTTTGATTCCTACTTCTTCATCTAAGCCATCTATGCCTAAACTTGATTTGGTAAAGCAATTGGATGTGTTTGTTTCTCACTCCACTACCCATGGACATGTTAAATTTGAGTTGGATCACTATTTAGAAGAGTCTATTTCACCTAGGAATGATGATGATGATTTTGATATATTGTGTTGGTGGAAATCAAATGGGATCAAATATCTCACTTTGAATGATATTGCTAGAGATATTTTGGCCATTCATGTATCCACAGTTGCTTCAGAGTCTTACTTTAGTACTAGTGGAAGGATTATAAACCCTCATCGTAGCCGGCTTCATTCAAAAACAGTAGAGGCATTGATGTGCGCTCGTGATTGGTTATGGAGTGAGATAAGAGGTATTGAAATATTTTTGTGGTTATATTTGTCATATTAAGTAAAACATTTTATTATTGTTTTTTGATAAATTTTTTTTTATATGGTTAGCTTTAAGCTCTAATGAGAATGAAGCTAAAAGACTCACCGTTCAAGATGAGGAAGTTGATAATAATGAGGAAGAGGTAACATTCTTATATTTAATAGCTTTCCTTATTTTTTTAAAAAATGGATTTTTCTTATATTGGCCAATTTCTTACTTTCTTTTAAGTAATTGTAATGCCTTTATCTTATTATTTATTTATTTATTTTTTGTAGGAGTCTACCATTGAAACAAAGAACATCTCTTTGTTTTTTGATTAAAGCTATGAATGAGGAAGCATAAGAGAGTTCATTGAAATTGTGAAGTTTTATTTGATGACAAAATATTGTCAATATTTTTTCGGGATTGGTTTTCTAATTTAAGACTATATGGATTTGTTGTGCTTACTGAAAAAGTTTCTAAAGATTCGGATTAGGAAATTATTTCAAGTTTTGTGTCCTCATTTGCCTTGTTGAGAAATTATTTTAACAAGAAATATCTTGTGGTGGCTGTTTTAAAAATTTACAATGATGTGACTGTGCTTAGAAAATTATTTTAACAAGTATCTTATTAAAAATCGGGGTTTGGGGCGGGTATAGGAGGCACTTTCCCGACAGGAACGGGGACTGGGATTTCCCGAAAAGCCTAAACCGGGGATTGGGGCGGGGATGGGGAACGGGGATGGGGATGGTATTATCATACCCGGCCCCTAACCGGCCCGTTGCCATCCCTAGTTCTGTTCGTACTGGAATGAAATATTTTCTGGTGAGTGAGCTTAGCTCCACTCCTTATATAAGAACGTGGCAGTGAAAGCCTTGAAATTCAGCGGCGCGCTCCGGAGCAAATACAGTGTCGTTTTGCAAGTCAAAATGAAGACTTTCTCGTTGTAGGCCCGAGATGCCTCGCATCCAAACCGGTTCCCGGCTCCCGCTTTGATGAAGTAGGGCTCCTTGTTGAGAACCAAGCCTTGGATCGACACCAGAACCTGGAGGATCGTCAACTGAGATGGGTCCCACTTCTCCTTCCCCTTTCCCAGTCAAGTGTTGAGCAGGCTGAGGCAGACATACCCGCTCGCGTAAAGGTTCAGGTTGGGCCTCAGCCCGAACAAGTGGTAGTGGACCTCGGGCGGGTGGGTCGGGTAATCGAAGGGGAAGGCGATGTCGAAGAAGAAGAGCGCGTCGAGGTAGGGCGTGCCAGAGGCTCCGACGACGTAGATGGAGTCCAGGAGGTGCTTCTCCTGAATCTTCCACTCCTGCATAATCTTCTTTTAGACCCGGTCGCCGCCGCCGCAACCGTTTTTGTTGTTGACGTAGTGGTGGTCTGAGTGGTCTGAAACGACGTCGAATCGCTTGAATACGTTGGGCTTTGACGTCATTGTCTTTGGCGTCACAAAAGAAGAAGAAGAAAGGGCCATCATCGTTCCGTTTTCTTTTAAGACTCTTTGGTGATTGGACGGACAGTGGACTGTTGTGATTGTGGACTGTCAAGGCTGCGGGGCCACTCGGATTATGGACATAATAGACGGTGATTAAAGCTTTTCGTCTGAATAGGGTAAACAAGTAATGAGTTGAGAATAAGTTAGTAATCTGCTAACTAATGGATTAGGTTGGCCTGGCCTAGGGCCAAGTGACTTGTGGTGAGTGGCTTTGGCTTAATAGTTTTGTTTTATGCGTGTTTTTGACATGGGGAAGAATTTAAGCAAATTCCTAAAATGTATTGCTTATGTTGTACATTAATTACTACTCCTTAGATACTGTCCTGATTTTGATCAGGAGATCCTTTACTTCAACATGTAACAAAGTGAGAAAATGTGAAGAAACAAATTTAGAGTTTTAATCAATGATTTGCGATTTGACAAGTTCTTGAAATATGCAAAATCTTTGGATGAATCTTTAATCCAAAAGAAAAAGGGGGAATATGGAAAGTAGAAGCAGCCAACTTGGCAAAGAAGAGCGACATAAAACAAAGATTAATGCAATCTTAACAAACTTTTATCATATCGTATGATGAAAAAGTATTCAGTGTGACCGTTACACTGACACATAATATTACAATTCGTTCATATTATAAAACGTATATTTATTTATTAATATTATATCATAGGGCCCTAAAGCATAAGCTATGTCTTTAACCAAATATTATAATGAGTTTTCTATTGATTGATAAGGGATAAAACATTTACTTTTGGGTTTGGTAATTTGAATTTCTATTGATAAGCCTAAAACCCCATAGTTTTTTTAGACACAAGTACATGATAAACACCAAAAAGATACCAGCATTCCTCAAAGTCAAAAGGGTGGATTGTTTAGGCATTTTTGATGAGGCTCCAAGTTGGGTTGGGACTTCTTTGGTGGATGATTTGTTAGGGATGTCTACGCCATACTTGATTTGTGTTTGTTAGTTTGTTTTGTTTGTTTGGGGTTTTCCTCCCCAGTTCACCCAAAAAAAAAAAAGGGTGGATTGTTTTGTTGGTGCAAAGGAGAAAAATCAATACTCACAACCATAGTCTAAAATATTGATAATATCGAAGATATTATCATTTTTTCGGGTCATGGATATTTCGAAAAATATCCATACACATCGTATAAATATCGATAATATCAAAAAATATAAATGTCGATAATTTTGCTCACACTTCAGTAATATTTTATCAAAATATCGCTAAAATATCGAAAATATCGATGTAATGAAAAAAGAAAAAAGAAAACACAAAGCACACACCCAAAAGGGATTCAAATGT